TGAATTAATGAACAATTTAAAGCCGAAGTTACGTTAATTAAAACAAATCAAACTCATCCTGTGGTAGTTGACCAAAGATGAGCCGGTGCCAATTCTCATCCTCATCCCGTTGCTTACGTGGTAATAGTACAACGATAAAGATGAATATTCTATCGAATCGAGTAAATTTTTTTATGTAATTCGAACAGATTAATCTTATTTTATAACTCAAATTTTTAAATTTCTGATAAAATTTAATTATAAATATTTATAATATTATTTTATTCAAATTTAAATGATTCTTTATAATTATATACCATACATATATATATTTCTTTATATGTATTATATATATATATATCATATAAAATTAAAAGACACTGTTAAATTTAAAAATCAATTCATTAATTATTAAAAATTTTGAGTTATTCAACATGTATTTTACAATTTGATTTAGACTTAAAAATTTTATAATCAAATTGTATTTATAAAATTATAACTTAAATTCATTTCAAATTGAATTTTTTTAAATCGAATTAAATTTTGTTAACCCTATCCGGTGGATATTGGCTCCAAACTTTCTTGTTTAGCATTGGCGTGTGTCAGCCACCAAAACTTTGTTAATACTAACGCGCATAGCTGATCGTTTTCTTTCATCAGAAAGAGAGAGAGCGAGAGACGGCTACAGCATATGAAATGAAAGCAATACAAAGCAAACTTGAAGACTCTCTCTCATTTGCAAAATTTTATCTTCATCACCATTTTTCCTGGTCATTGGAGCAAAGACATAAGGTGAACAACATCTTGCTTTAAAGCTCTTCTCTTTCTGTTTTATTTGTTTTGAGTTAAAAGACCAACATTTTTATGTCCACACAAGATACCCTTATTTATTTGGGAAAGTGAAGAAAAATTACCATAAGGTGTGCATTCTTAAGCAAAATGAATGATTCAAAAGCACACAAGTTCATGCCTTGAATCCCCCAATTACCACAATGCTTCCTTTTGGACCTCCTACAACTGACCTTCTTGAACCACCACCCATAGAGCCTCACCTAAAACCCATTCAGCTGGTAGAAACCTTAGCTGATCTTTATCGCCGCCTTGAAAATTGTTTAGAATCAGAGAAATCATTGTTATGCGTTGAGCAGTACTCGGTTTTTAGTAGCCTAGGTGATCCTAAGTTATTGAGAAGGTGCCTCCGTGCTGCCAGGAAACTTGCCTCTGATGTGCACTCCAAGGTAGTTTTATCAGCTTGGTTAAGGTATGAGAAGAGAGAATATGAACTTGAAGGTGTGTCACCAATGGATTGTAGTAGTTTCATTCTTGAATGTCCTAAGGCTACTCTGGAATCTGGGTGTGACCCAAATTTGATTTATGACCACTGCAAGTGTTATCAAGAGCATACCAACTCAACTGATGCCCAATTATCTGAGTACAACAACCTTTTCACATTGGAACAAGATGGTGATGTGTGCTTTAGTGTTGGCCATGAGGAGATTAATTGTGTTCGATTTTGAATCGCTGCACTTTCAACCCCATTTAAGGCAATGCTGTATGGGGGTTTCAACGAGTCGAAATGTTATAAAATTGATTTTTCACAAAACGGTATCTCTGCGGAGGGAATGAAAGCTTTGGATTTGTACACTAGGACTAAGAGGCTGGATTTCTTTTCTCCTAAGATTGTTCTGGAGCTCTTATCTTTTGCAGAGAGGTTCTGTTGTGAGGCATTAAAATCGGCTTGTGATATTCATTTGGCAACCATAGTTAGCTGTATAGAGGATGCTTTGGTCCTTATTGAATATGGGTTAGAGGAAAGGGCATATGTTCTAGTGGCTTCATGTTTGCAGGTGCTGCTGAGAGGGCTCCCAAGTTCTCTTTATAGCCCCAAAGTAATGAGGATATTTTGTGGCTTTGAGGCAAGGGAGAGACTGGCATCAATGGGCCATGCTTCTTTCTTCTTGTATTATTTCTTAAGCCAGGTGGCTATGGAAGAGGATATGGTGTCAAATACTACGGTGATGTTGTTAAAAAGATTGAGAGAATGTGCCACATTACAGTGGCAGAAGGCTCTAGCTTTGCATCAATTGGGTTGCGTGTCACTTAAGAGACGAGAGTACAAAAGTGCTCAATGTTATTTTGAAGCATCTACAGAGGCAGGTCATGTTTATTCATTAGCCGGTGCTGCAAGATCCATGTACAAGCTAGGGCAACAACATTCAGCCTACAAGTTGATGAGTGCACTCATCTCCGAGTATAAAGCAGTTGGGTGGATCTATCAGGAACGATCTTTGTATTATACTGGAGACGACAAGATCGCTGATTTGAACACTGCAACTAGATTGGATCCCACCCTGTCATTCCCATATAAATATAGAGCAGTCTCAAAGGCAGAGAATAAGCAAACTATGGATGCTATTTTGGAGATTGACAAAATCATTCGATTCAAGCTTGCACCAGACTGCCTAGAATTGCGAGCTTGGTTCTTCACAGCGATTGAGGATTATGGAAGTGCTGTGAGAGATATCAGAGCACTGTTAACTTTGGAGCCAAATTACAAGATGTTCAATGAGCAAGTAAGCGAGGATAATTTGATAGATCTCCTGAACCATAAGGTTCAGCAGGGAAGTCAGGCTGACTGCTGGCTGCAACTTAATGATCAATGGTCTTCCGTTGATGATATTGGCTCATTAGCGTTAATTCACCAGATGCTTGTTAATGATCCTAGAAAAAGTCTCCTTAGATTTCACCAATCTCTTATTCTTTTAAGGTAAGTATTCATATAGTTGTCTTCTTGAACTGCAATTCTTGTTCTGCCCATGGTTTTTAACAAGTTGTTGAATTTCTATGATTTTAACAATAGACACAATATTGTTTCTGTTTAAATATCCTGTTTTGTAATGCGGTTGTTCTCAGCTTTGATCTTACTATATGAGATCAAATAAAGAACACTGGATATACGTTAACATTGCAGGCTTAACTGTCAGAAGGCTGCTTCGCGATGTTTGCGATTAGCTTTCAATCTGTCAAGTTCTGAGCACGAAAAGTTAATTTATGAAGGATGGATTTTATATGACACCGGCCATCGTGAAGAAGCTCTTGCTAAGGCTGAGAAATCAATTTTAATTCAAAGGTCATTTGAGGCCTTTTTCCTGAAAGCCTACACATTGACAGATTCAAATCTGGATCCCGAGTCTTCTTCTTATGTCATTGAACTTTTGGAGGAGGCTATTAGATGCCCCTCGGATGGGATTCGGAAAGGACAAGTGAGTAAATTTATGCTTGGGGGTCTTTCATATGACCACAATCATTCCTATTTGATTGTTTATTATGATATTTTGCAGGCACTCAACAATTTAGGCACTATCTATGTGGATTCTGGGAAACTGGATCAAGCTGAAAACTGCCATATGAATGCCCTTGAAGTTAAACATACAAGAGCTCATCAAGGGTTAGCACAAATATACTCTTTAAGAAACTGGCAAAAAGATGCTTACGACTAGCTGTCCAAACTGATAGAGAAGGCACGTAATAATGCCTCGGCATATGAAAAGCGGTCGGAGTTTTGTGACCATGATATGGCAAAGAATGATCTCAACATGGCAGCAGAACTGGATCCACTTAGAGCATACCCGTATAGCTACATAGCAGCTGGTAATCTTTAAATATCTTTTCTTAGTTTCTGAATTTTGATTCTGGCTAGTGACATGTATTTGCATTTGTGATTCTCAAGCTTGCATGAGTCCTTGTTATAAAAAAAGACTACTTGCAAATATAAATAGGTCATTGGTACTTTTTAGATTGACTAAGCATACATGATCGATCGTGCTGAAGAATTCTTCCCTCTATTCTTGATCTCTTCATTAGCATTAGAAAGGAATGAAGTTCATATCTAGATATGTTGTATGGATGGAGCAAAGTAAAATTAATTTAATGTAAAGTATCATCTGGTTTAGTAGCCTGGTTTTTATCCAAGAAAGAATAATCTTCTTCCAATTTTCTATTTTAATAAATTTCAGGAGGCATAACTTCTTTATAACCACGTGTTTCTATGAATCTTTTCTTTTTTTACTGTAATTTTGTCTCTTCAGTAAAGAAGATATCATCATCTGAGAAATTTAGTCAGCACTGACATGCTGCATTATATTGTTAGTGCTAATGGATGACCAAAAAGAAACTGAAGCTATTGAAGAGATTTCAAAAGCCATAGCATTCAAGCCTGACGAGTCGATCGGTAATCTCAGTTCAGCTCTTCGTGATTGTGAAGCAGCTCTCTGCTTGGAACCGGACCATATCGACACAATTGATCTGTATAATAGAGCACAGGACCAAGCCATCAACCCTCAACAAATATAAGTGGCACTCGTCTTATTTCTCATAATCTTGGGGAGTTAACTGTCAGTAGTAAGGAAAAGAATCTTGGAGTCTTTCACATTATGTTTACTTCCTTTATGGAATGATATGGTTGCAGATGGCCGTGAAAAAGAAAGACTAAGAGAGTTGAAAGTAAATATGAGACCTATGAAAATAATAATAGTGGTGAAATGGAGTCATGTAAAGGTTAAGGTATTTAACACTGTTGTAACTATAGCGTGATTCATTACAAAATGAAACGTATACATTGTACAAAATATCAGATCATTGGTTGTACAAAATCTCATTTTTTACTCCTAACTTTTGGTTCTTAATATTCTTCCTCCTTTTCTCAATCTCTCCCTCCCTCATCGATCTCTCTCTAATGCTATTCGGCTTCATGCTTAAAAAAGGCATTCGGACTAGTGGACGAGTCTTGGTGATAGGAGTGATCTTATTAAGCTAGATGGTGCTAAATGTCGTGGTACAAGATAAATGGAAGAGAGAAGAGAATCAACAATATATTAATCTCCAAGTTCCCATACAATCCACTTTAGAATCTGAATGAATAAATGTTAGAAAAAAATGTAAAGAATGGAGGAGCAGCAGACCAAGGCTTGCAACTCTTTTCTCTCCGAATTATATACAACGAATCATTTCTATTCCTGGCTTTTGATTAGAGAAAGAAGAATCCACTCGAAACTTTGCTGATCCGGAGTGCAGCATTAGAAACAGGGAAACCAGAAAGCAAATGTATTTAACATCAATGCCACTGATCAGCTTGGTTCTGTAGACAAGATTTCGATCTCAGCCCACCAGAGGGGAGATAGTTTCGGAGTTGCTCCATCAGGTCCCATTGCTGTGATCTCTTTTAGTTTGGCTGCAACTTCTCTCATTGTCGGTCTCTCTTTTGGATCAGGATTAACACAAGTCTTAATCACTTCAAACAGTTTTTCCAGATCGACTTCTTGGAAAAGTTTAAGAGTTGGATCCACCATTTCTTTCAATGGCCGGCCCCTTTTCAAGTAGTCCGATGCCCAGTCTGCAAGTGAGCCATTATCTACTGAATAAGGGGTCCTACCAGTTATCATTTCAAACAATATTACCCCGAAGCTGTAAACATTGCTCTCCACGTCTGCTGGTGCAGATTCTAAGAGCTCCATGGTAGCCGATCTCACCTTGGCTGCAGTTGCGTTATTCAAGAAGCTGAAATCAGATATTTTGGCAGCATAGTCTTCGGTCAGATATACAGAGCAAGACTGCAGGTTTCTATGGACTATAGGAGGAGTCAGCTGGTGCATATGCTCAAGGCAGTATGCTATTCCCATTGCTATTCTTAGGCGCATTCCCCAGTCCAAGAGCTCGGCTTCTTGTACTGCAAGAAATCCAAAACTCAGCATCATCCAAACCATATAGTATTATTTTCATCTATAAATAAACACTGTTCAAATGGTACAAGTTAAAATGTAATCAAGCACTTACTGTGTAGATGTTCAAAGAGTGATCCGTTAGGAACGTACTCAAAAACCATCATTCTTGTGAAAGGCACATTTTCTTCACAATATCCGATGAGGTTCACGAAATTCTTGTGGTTCACTTTAGACAATGCGTCTATCTGAAAGAAGAACAAATAAATTGATATTCATGCAATGGTATAACAAGTCTTTAGACTATATTTATGAAGAATATCACAGTACCTTGTTTCTAAAATGTGTTTCTAAATTCTTTGACCACTCTTCACGAGATGCAATCGCAGTCGAAGTCACTGCTATTTCAACCCCAGTCGATAAAGTCCCCTTGTAGACCATGCCATCAGAAAAGGAACCAATTATATTGCTGAAATCCTCACAAGCTTCTTCAAGTTCTGATCGCTTGAGCTTCGGCACACCTGAATGCAGCAACGATAAACTTTAATCAGAAATTTTTGAGCCAAAAGGTGAAAAAAGTTTTTCTTTTCTTTTTTGTATATGATTTAAATATAAATTCCCTAAAAGAATGATTTTTGGGTTTCATACTTTTTCAGCTAATTTTACAGTGCCTGCATACACTTAGAAATGCATGGAATGTGTTCTGTAAGAAAGTAAACATACCTGTTACAAATGCTTTCTGCAGCTGACCACTTAATCCTGTGACCCAAGGTTTGACAGAAACCACCTTACTACTTCCGAAGAGGATAATGCCGAGGACTGAAACCAAAACAATCAAGGAACCCCCAAGACTTGCAACCAAGGTTAGAAAAATACGATGTTTTGAATCAGAATTCTCATCTGATATCTGCCTAGGAGTTAAACCAGGGGAATTGGCTGGGGCACTATGTGATTGTGGTGGTTCAGAGATAAATACTGGTGGATCTACAGAAGGTTGTAAAGCAGGAGTTGGTGCTAATTCAGGTGAAGGTGCAGGAGGCAAAGAGACACCGAAGGGAGATGGCGATGGAGACAATGATGAAGGTGAAGGTGACATTGAAGGTGAAAATGGGGATTCTGATAGTGAAGGTGATGGTGATAGTTGGGAAACTCTTTCATTGTCTATCTTTGAGGATTCCACCACCTGCTGCAACCGCCTCCCGTGAGCTGTATCTCCTGGCTGGCCAATGTTCCTAATAATGAGAAGATATCACGAAGCAACTAGTTAATACTCTATATAACTTTGCTGCATTAAACCAAAAATTTTCCTCAATATAAAAGGATGTGAGAGCTTGCTATAACTGCTCAACAGGAGCCACTAAAGCTATATAGCAAGTAATACAGGAAGACTCGCCCTATAAGCCTAAAAAAATCAAGGCTTCCATCTCTGCAAATGGTTCCTGCCTTTCAAAAGATTACTCAAAGGAAATCGAGATATTACATAAATTTTAACTGCTTACCAAGGAAAACTGCTGCTTTTACAAGATGGTATAGTAGCAGAATCAGTCAGCTGATTCTCATCTACTTGAAATCCAGAAAGCATTTTAATATCATATAACTCAGGTTCCAGGCTTCCCAGAAACTCATTGTTGTCGAGTAAACTGCGTAAAGAAGAAATCAGAATTAAAAAAAAAGGACTAGAAAACAGCTTCAGCAAAATAAAACTGAATCTAAACAACTTGAAAGAGGATCATACAGTGTTGTTAGGGAGAGATTATTGCCAAAATCAGATGGAAACAGTCCACTAAAGTTATTGAATCCCAAATCCAACACCTCCAGCTCCTTTAATCCGATAATTTCTTTAGGAATGCTTCCGGAGAAAGAGTTGTTGCGCAATATACTGCAATGGTATATAAAACAGAACTAAGAAAAGAGCAACATAAAGGTGATTTGTGAAATTATAGACCAAGGATGATAAACTTACATAGATTTTAAGTTCCCCAGCTGCCCAACTTCAGGTCCCAGGTCCCCAACAAGGCCAAGGTCTTTCAGATTTCTGCAAGAACCATAACTCCGACGTCAGAGCATTAACCACAATAAATATAGGAACAAAGTGATAAAATATGCAAAAAGATAACTCACAAATTTACAATTTTTTCATCAGAGCACTCGACCCCGAACCAAGAACACGGATAAATCGCGCCATCAATTTCCTTCCAGTTTGATAAAGCACCAAAAGGGTCACTCACCACTCTCTGTTTGAACCTCAACAAAGCCATACCTGCACAATTTTTTTTTTGGCGCGTTCATCCAAAGAAACTCTCTTTGAAGCTCAATAAAATGTATGGACATGCAAAGCTAGCCATGGTATAATATACCTTCTTCATTGTTCAAAGGCGAGGAAAAGCTTTGCTCAAACAATGATAAAACCAGCATCAGCACCATCATCTTGAACTTCAACTGCTCGAATCCCAATCGTCCATTCATGTCCAAAAGACGATGTTTTTTTTAAATAAAATAGAACTTTTTCCCCTATCAACCTTTGAGAATAAAAGGAGCCGACAATGTAATATTGAATAAACACAAAAGGAAATGCAAGCGAGCTTGCTGGAGGCTGCTAAATGCAAGGCTGCTAAGAGCTAGCAAATTTGTACATGACGAGAAGAAAGCGCGTGTGCATAGCGGTGCCGGTGTTCATTTGCTTTTTTTAATAGAAAGAAACATTTTGCAAGTTAAACCCGAAATAGGAAAAATGAAGGAATGGGAAGACAATGATACGAGACAGTACTTACGGTTTTAACATAGAGACAGAGAACAAACTACAAAAGTAAATTTGGGTTTTGGTCTGAATCTGAGTTTGGTCTTTTTCGGCGATCCGCTGTAGCCGGTGTTCTGATTTTGTCGACTTGGTGGAGGACTGACTCTTTCCTTCCTTCCTATATTTATAGCGCCGTCCCGTGAAATCCCCCCTGCTGCTTCTCACATGCTGAATATTCCTCTTTTCAATGTTTTGAAACTTTAATGTCTAATTATGATTTTGGTCCTTTTATCTATTTAAAAATTTTAAACTTAAACCATTTTCTTTAATTTAGTATTAATTTAGGATAAACTACACATTTAGTAGTATAGTCGTCTGAGTTGGACGTTAACCTGCTAACTGAGATATGATAAAAACTGATCTCAGTTGTATAGACGATTGAGAGTTTGATATCGAATTTTATCGTATCCCGGTCAGTATGTTAAAGTCTAAATTAAACTGTCATCATATTTTTAATGGAAAAGGACGAGTTTGGAACATATCAATAGTTAAGTGACCATTTTATAACTTTTAATAGTTGAAGACTCAAAAAAACAATACCTTATAATTGAATGATCATTTTATAACTTTTAATGGTCGAAAAACTTGACAAAATTACACACTATAATCAAAGAGGCCATTTGTGTACTTTACCCAATTTGATTTCATTTTTATTTGTATTAGATAATCAAATGGGTTTATTTTCCCAATGATTGAACAATAAGTACGGTTTTTGGTGTTGGATTGAGGCTATTCAATCATAGAATTAATGTGCATACGAAGAACATAATTCATTACTATTCTAACAATAATTTTATGTTTAATGTTAAATGTATGCAATTAATAATTTTTTTTATGATTAATACTTTTAAGTTTAGAATTTTTTAAGGTTAATTTATCAGAATAGTCATCTTTATTTTAGTTTTGTTCACTTTTGATCATCGATTTTTTTTTAAAAACATTATGTTTCGGTCACTTACGTTATCAATTTATTAAATTTTAATCACATACATTATCAAATGTTACAATTTGATCATTGAACCATTAATGTATGTTAATTTGATGAAATGGTACGTTAATAAATGGAGTTAGTTTTTAATTTTACCTTTGACTTTAGATATAATACTAATTTATCCCATAAACTTTAAATGAAATATCATTTTGACCCTAAACATTAGATAAAAGAAAATAACGACTAAAAACGAAAACAACGACAAAACGACTGAAAACATGTCAAAAGATAGAGAAAACACGTGACAGAGGTAGAGGAAAACATAACATAAAGACAGAGTCATTAGAAACTAAAATAACAAATGAAAAAACAAAGATGTGATATGAGAAAGCAAAGGAAAAAAAAATATATCGACTACGATGACTAACACCAAGGTTAGTGCCATCGCCTATCAACCAAAGATGAAGAAAGGGATAAACAACTTTTAGGATTTTTTAAAAGCTTTACGGAGTTTTTTAAATTTATAATTAATATTATAAACATAACAAAAAATAAATTTATAATTAATATTATAAACCTTAAAAAAACTATGACATAACAATATTATAAACAAAAATTATGAATTTGATTATGTCATATATTTGAATTTTTAGTGTTCGTATTTTTAAAGAAATATTGATAAATTTATTATTATAGTTTAATTTTAAAGAAATTCGAAGGGTTCTATACTAAATTTAGTGAGTTTATGACATTTTCTGATGAAACAAACATCATATTCACTTTCATGAGGGACAAAGGAGTGATGAGGTTCAACTGTTGTCAACGATGATGGTCGACGACGAATGGGGGTGATCGACAGTGACAATGGTGAGTGGCGGCCGACGACGGGAGACTTTGGTTGAATTTAGGGGATGTTTTTTTTCTAAAATTTAGGAACAAAATGACATTTCATCTAAAAGTTAGGGGTCAAATTAAAAAATTAACCCCTTTTACTAGCGTTCCAGTCATCAAATTAATAGAGTTTATGGTTCAGTGATCAGAATGTAACAACCGATAACCTAAGTGACTAGAATTTAATAAACTGAAAACGTAAGTAATCGAAATATAATTTTTTTCAAAAATCGCTCATCAAAAGTGAAAAAAATTGGAACAAAAGTGATCATTCTCATAGTTTACCCTTTTTTATGAATATAATGTATTTCAATATTACACCGACATTTGCAGGAAGTATTAAAACTCTATTAGAAGTAGGTTTTTTTGTTTCTTTTTCTATCATAAAAGGTTTAAAATTTGCGTGACTTCATCAAGGTGAATTTCCAGGAACCACAACTCATTGGAAGAAAGCTATTGACACCTTCTGCTAAGTCGCTCAATACTTTTGATCCCTATGAGACAATCAAACAATCCCTTTAAGAAGTAGCCGTCATTTGATTTTATATATACACAACAACATTAACTTATGCAGCCCGTCCTTAACTAGCAAGTTGGCTACACATGAAATCCACAATACAAACGCATTCAAAGATGAATCGAGGGGATAGGTCAGGGCAGTCGTCCTCCTAAAAATTTAAAATTATATATTTTATTTTTTATATATTTTTTCTATTAAAAATTGTTTCCATCTCTCTCAGAATTTTATAATTTATCACCTTTTAAATTTTACAAATTCACCCCTAACATAAAATTGAACACATCATTACATTATCCCGTATTCCATATTGTTTGTTGCCGTCAACTGTTGAAATGGTCGTTTTCATCCTAAGCAAAAAAACCAGTTCAATTCTGCCTGCAAAAGGACAATCCAAGACAACAATAATTCAACAAAAGTTGCTCATGTATTAGTAGTGGCGGGTAACCAAATAATGTTATTGCCTCAACATGTTGCCAGGTAGATCAAATAAAGCTATCAACACTCAGTATTAGATAAAAAAGGAGTAAACAGTAAGATACACATATTATGTAAAAGGGTAAACTACATGCTTAGTACCCTAATTATCACGTTTGTTTCATTTTAACCACCCAATTTTTTTTAAAATTATACCTAACATTACTGTTAGAAATAAACTAGAATTAGCAATTAGTATGTTTTGATTGTTAGTCTATTGGATGGATTTGTTAGACGGTTAGCAATATGGGCTATATAAGTCCACTAGTTGTAATGGGCTAAATACATTCTTTAAAATCTTTTTAATATGTCAATCAGGGTTAGTACAAATGGCTAAGATTTAAGAATTTGAGCTTGTAAGATCAAGTTCGAATTCTACCACCATCACTCTTAGTGGGCAATATGTAAATTTCTATGTAAACCCTAATTGCATCTTAGGTATGCACTAGCCTTGGATTGGGGAGCCACCCTTGACCTAAGCTTTTATGTACCAAAAAAAATCTTTTCAATATACTCTTTCTTTATTTTACTCTAATAAACAAAACCCATTTCATAAATTAGACTCTTCATTACTCTCCAAAGCCCACCGATCGTTCATCATCTCCGATCGTCAATGGCACCTTTCTCACAGTTACGTTTTGGTTTCATTTTTGGTCATCCACTGTTAAAATTTTTAACAAAACAGCTGACATGACATTTTTCTATTTTTCCAATGATGATATGACATTATCTTATGGTGACACGTCAACATCACCGTTAATTTTTTAACAACAAGTGTCCAAAATGAAACCAAACTTAATCGTTAAGTACGATTTTGAAAAAAATAATTGAGTGACCATAATGGAATAAAATTGATAATTTGACTATTAAACGTGTAGTTTACCTATGTAAAAGCAATATATTCTGCTTTTTTTTATATATAATGAGAACATGACTTTGAAGGTAAGTTCCAAAGGTTGGGAAAAGGCAGTGATATATCAAAGAAGGGACACTGAAATTGATGTCTAAGCTTCTATGAATATGATTTGAAGGCTCAGTGGCACTTTATAAATGTATTTTCCATTTTTTTTATAAATATATACATCTATTTATTCTTTAAAACTTCCCAGTTTTGAGGGCCATATATCACAAGCATACTTCTTAAGGGTACAATGACCTCCGAACTTTATTTTTTTATAGTTCGGAATTAATATAACAAATGCCAAAGGAAAGTAAAATGTCATCAAAAGGAATCGTCTTTAATTTTTCTAATATTTTGAATGATTTTCTTTGCATTTTTATATGGTTAAGACATAGGAGAAAGTTAAAAAGAAAATGGTGAGATATAATTCTGTGTTTTTTTATGGCATGTCTTTTACGCAAGGTAAACACTGAAAACTTAAAGAAACCTCAGTAGAAGATTCAATACTTAGGTTCGTGGAACCTTAGAGTAATCTTAGTGATTACAAGAATTTTATTATTCGTTAATGATTTAAGTTCGAGCAGCGTAGTATGCATATGTATATGTATATGTATATGTTTAGATCTAAAGTCTTTAAAAAAAATTATTACTACGAAGTCATTTGGTGCACCACCACCACCCGCTGTGGATCACACTTAAATTTGCCAAGAAATCGACAATGCACCGTACAATTAAAAAAAAAACAATCTGTTCGTTTATGTTTGGAGGCTAATGGCAATGATTTGAAAAAGGTAGTCTAACCAAAAAACAGTGTCAAATGGCTCTGATTTTCTAAGTTAGGATGATTACACATGGAGGGGCTCAGTGGCTGGACCCATGACCGGACCACCATCACGCAACCCAGGAAGGTGCGAAGCCTTGTGGCGTTGTTAGGTTTGTGAACCGTATTTACTTAAATCCGGAATGCTTCTAGATACGAGTCTTCATAATAATATATATGTATGTTTTATATTCGAGCATGATGTCCGTATGAATGTTTATAAAAAATAATTTTTCAAAAATATTTCAAATTTATATAATTTTTTAAAAAATATATAGTTTTAAAAAATTCACATAAATAAACTTAAAATTTCGAATTTCGTAATCTAAGCATAAACAAACCTACATGGTAGGTAGGATAGACAATTACCTCCCAGACTTTGATGGTTTAATTTCATATTAACAATTTTCCCAATCAAAACAACAAAATATCTTTTAAGTGAAAGGAAGTCTAATTGACACTCCATGCCATTCCTATGCAATTAACACAATAATTTGATCGAAGCCTGAGAGGCCGTTTGGGAATGTTTAAGGAAGTGCTTTTGGCCTAAAATTCCGTTTGAAACGCAAAAATAATCTCAAACATCTCATATTCAGTCAAAAATTATAGTTTCAAACGAGTTTATTAACTCAAACCAAGAAGTAGGAAAAACGATGCTTTTGTGTTGGAAAGCTTGTTGGAAAAGTTCGTTTGGAGAAGCATTCTCAAACGAAGCGTGAATTGATCTAACTGGTTTATTAGATCATTATTGACTCGTTGAATGGATAGTCATGAAATAATATATATTTTAAGGCTATGGGTCTAAAATAAAATCTTAATCTAAGTGAAGTGCGAAAACAAAATATTTAAGGCTCAAATTGAAAAACTCCAAATAATTTTGATATTTACTTTAAAACTCAAAATTTCTTGTTCGTTAATGAAATGAATGTTATTAATAATCTATTAGTGAAAATTTGAGTTTATTTGAGTTAAAATCAAACTTCTGGCATTTGAAGGAATTTTCAGTAAAAATCATTATAATCATTTTTAATGTTACCAAGCAGTTTTAATGGCTTTTGGAGGAAGCAACAGGGGAATGGGTTGAAGTTTGGATGACCTTTAGTATTAAGTCAATGTGAAAGTGATGCAGTTTTAATGGCATTTGGAGGGATTAGTTCTATATATATATATATATTGACAGGTGAAGTAGATAACAATTGTAGACGGTGATTGGAAGGTTTTTCTAATGGTGTGAGACTGGTTTGATCGTGAAGAAGTTTTGTACGTTTCTTTACTCTTCGTTGTATGATTTTTTATAGTGCTCTAGATAGGTGTCGGTTAGGAGTTTTCGTGGCATAGATACTGATGGAACATCCTATAAAGTGATGGTTTAGACTAGTTTGTCGTTGGAAACGATCATGTGATCACTGAAGATTTTACGCAGGAGATACTTACGGTACGGGATAGTAGATAATTGACATGTGATCACTATCGTTAGTTCGCGAAGTACGTTCCTTTATATATGAGAGTTCGCATAGATTTTCAATTCACGTTCCTTTATATATGAGAGTTCGCATAGATCTTCAATTCACGTCTCTGAAGATTTACATGAATCGTATGTTCGCGTGTAGTAACAATATATGTATTGAATCCATGTTGATGGCGGTGGTTGTTTTATCTTCTATTTCTGAATTGAAGTGTTTGAAGGGTTTTTTGATTTTGTCTACATTCAGGCAAGAGACTAATCATATTAGAATTGAAGACCTTGTCAAGGTTTCTTCCATTTCTACAATTACCAACAAAATTATGTATTCTCTAAATGTCTTCCATTCATTCAATATTACCATCTTAACCAACCTTTTACATCAATCTCCTTTTCTCCAAAGATCATAATTAAAAAATAACCCTAAATTCTAAATCCCACTCTCAAATGCTAAAATATTCATTAAAACAACTCTCCATGCCTGATATAAATCCACACCTATCTTTACAGGATAATTTACTGCTACTTTAAGTAATCAAAGCAACCCTCTGAATAAATCCATATATGGTTTTCTTTTCCCCTGTAAATGGTAATTGATTTGCAGTAAATTACTAGAAGATCGAAGATAAAATTAATGGTCAAATTTATAAAGTTAGTATATTGCATATGGGGGATTATAGTATGAGTTGGCAAATAGTGCAGTTCATTTTATATGAAGGATGAAAATGGTGAATGATAAGAAAACTTTAATCATCAAATAGTTCAGATTCAATGAAAGAAAATGATTATAAATCTTAAATATTTGATTAGCAGATTTTTTTTTATTCATCATTCCTATCCTTCTCATAAAACAATAAGATAAACTGCACATTAAATCACTCAATTATCTATGCGGTTTTGTTTTGGTCACACAACTAACTTTTATTTAAAATCATATATAACATTATGTTTTGGCATCATTTTGATCATTCACTGTTAAAAAGTTAATGGTAATGCTTATGTGTCACCATGAGATAATGTCACATCATCATTAAAATAGAAAATATGTCACATCAATAGTTTTGTTAATATTTTAATAAGGTGACCAAAATGAAACTTAATTTTGAAAAAAAATAGTTAGATGATTAAAATGGAACCATGTAAATAATTGAGTGACTATACACATAGTTTACCTAAAATAATAAAACCTAACAAGTTTTCAAATATGAATTGATTGTTGAATTTTATTCAGCCTATAGAAATTTAATATCAGGAAGATGGCAAGTTTTACATATATCAAATAGACTGTTGTCTCTCTATATATCCCTCTCTTTTTTCCTTTTAGTTTCAGGATTTCATCTTGATTAATCCGAACAATCAGTGTCGCAACTTAATTTTAGAGAATGAAACTCCCGACGGAGATTTTCAACACTGTCTATAAAACAATAATGATCTGTCTCTAGAAAAGAATAGGTTACTGCACTAATTTGGTGCATCTTACACTTATATCCAACTAGACATTGTCACCATGGGAGCTCCCATGTAACCCAACACCATTTGATTGTTTTCCTCTCCTTGGACCCTCACCCAATATGAACCCTCCCCTTCACTCACCACCTCCGTAGCTTCCAAATGGTTTTCCCAGCTCATTCTCAGAGGCTCCAACCCTAGTTTTGTGAGACAGCATCCTGCCCTCCAAGTTTCTTTCCATTGCCCAACATCAGCAAGAGAACAAAGATGGGGTACCACAAACAAACATTCCATAGCTATTCTAGCCTCTAGAAACCTAAACTGCTCCATTGACTCGAGCAATGCTTGGAAGTAGATCAGCTGTGCTTCGAAGAAAGAATCGAAACTAGTGTAGTCCATCCATTTTTCGATACCTACTCCGTCACCCAAAGTGATGACGCCTTTGGTTCTATCATTCCCAATCAATGCCTTTGCTGTTGTAAGGAACTCCTCAACGTGCTTCACACTCCTTTGTTCCATGTGAGGGAGCCCAACCATGCAATTGAATGCTAACCAGTCGCTATCCATTTTAACCTTGCTCACTAAGCCTTCTATATCCGTTTCCTCCACCTCCAATCTTAGACCAAAATTCTTTGCATGTTTACATAGTTGCTTCTTTGTGTCCTCAAAATTAGTTGTAGCATTGCAACTGCCACTCTCTTCCTCCCATCTTATTGCTGTCAACCGCAATATTTGTAGCCCTCTCCTTCCAAGTGTTTCGATCAATGGTGGCCATTGTATGCCTTTACCAATATCGAAATCAACAACGTGTAGCACAGTAGCATAGGCAGGGATGGCTTCCAGTATGGATGAATTGGCAGCGAAATGAGCAAACCTACTATAGGGGAAGATCTGATAGAAGGCCTTGAAGGCAGCCTCTTGATTTTTGCTAGATTCTTGCATTAAGTAGCTAGCTTGGTTGTCTGATGATAGGGTCAAATAAAATGCAAGTCTTTCAGTGCTTTTGCCAGTTGGAGAGGCCTTCTCTTTGAGTCGCCTGATAACTTCCCCTGCTAGCTCCATTTGTTTGTTCCCCACGGCATCCCCAAATGCTTTCAACAGATGAAGAATCGATAGGTGGTTATCGATTTCCATGTTTTCATCGGGCAAAACCAGGCATGGTTGAACTGATGGGAGGCCATTCATCGAAATTTCGCCCGACGATGGTGGGAGATGGACATCTTCCATGAGAATCCGTTGCGAAGAGATGCTGCTATCACTGACCATCCATTCAGAGCAGTTTTCAACCCCATCAAGCCTAAATTGGTGATCAATCCATGGTAAGATGGCTGGAAAATGATCGCCTAAAAAGTGGGAACTATTGATTTCACTGCCATATGGAGTTGAAGAAGAAACATCTGAGAAATCTTGAATGGAAACTGATGAAGTGGAAAACTTGAAAGTGTCAACATGGGTATCCATTTCTGGCAAGAAAAAACCTTCTTCAAAGGGTGAGCCTACTGGGTTGTATTTTGGCCAATAAGGGTGGTGGAACTCCATTTGCATCTTCTTGGATGTCAATGTAAAATGAGATTGGTGTTCATGGAGAAAGAAGCTTTGTTATATATAGCCATGGTGAAGAACAAGGAACGAATGATGACAGAAACAATAAATAAAAGAGGAAAGAAAATTCATAAAAATTCTGCACATTGTTTTTATAGAGATAATTTCTCAATACTTCTTCCAATTAAATTCCTCTAATTTCTTTGGTAGCTTATGAGATTCAGAATATTATTGTGGAATAGACTGAGTCAAATATTGCTCCACTCCAAGTCAAAAGAAAATTCAATTCTGAGGAATTCCTAAGGTACAAGCTACCTTTTTTAAAGTCTCCTCCAATCATTTTATCCTATCCCAAATTTGGATTAAAGTAATTAATGAGTGATTTGTAGATATTTCATACAAATCCAAATCAAAGTTCCATCATTACCTACCTACCATTATATAAAATTATATATGAAGCAAGAATTTGCAGCAACCAATCTTTCATGGTGAAGACAAAAAGAAAAACGGTCGCCTTATTTTTTATATTCGTCCACGTGTCCTTGTTTCTTGAAAATTCACAGTTCAATGGGATGTTACGTGGTCAAGCTACGTTGAACATGAGTTACCTACGCATCTTCTTCTTCTACCCTCATTTGGCTGCAATTCTGGCCTCTAGTTACAGTCGTTTACTGTTATTTTTATTTTATGACATATTTATTAAGTCTTTAATGATCTGGAGAATTAATAATGTATGTTTAGAATTCTTTTTACTCAATTGATAATATACTCTCCATATGTAACTATTCATATGGGGAATAAAACTTGATTTGACTTGAAAAGTCAATTTTTCAATTCGACTCTAAATTTTTTTTAAATTTAAATCGAGTTATAAAATGCAACCCAAATAATTCGAAATTTTTAATAATTAGTAGATTGATTTTCAAATTTGAGTCGAGACCCTCGACCATGTATAATATATGTATATCAAATATGAAAAAAAAATATGAAGAAATATATATTATGATTATGAAAAGTCATTTAAATTGGAATCAAATAATCTCATAATATTATATATATATATATACTATTAAATTTAGGGTAAAGTATATACATAGTACCCGAATTTTTATTACACCATTTTATGTGTTGTACTTCTCCACTTCAATCAAAATATCTAACCTCGTTAACCAAAATAAATAACTTCATGTGTTTACCCATTTTTTTCTCCTTAAAATGATTATAATAATAATAGGGGAATGTTTTTTGAAAGCTTGAGTCGTCGGAGGCCAAATCATCAGATAAAGCTCTCACAAAACCCTAGTCTCTCCTCACTTCTTCATTTCGCGTATGCCATGTCAAGGAAAAAGGTTAGAGAGCCCAAGGAGGAAAATACTACCCTTGGACCTGCTGTTCGAAGAGGGCGAGTATGTTTTCGGAGTGGATCACATTTTCGCTTCATTTAACGACACATTTATTCATGTGACTGATTTGTCTGGAAGGGAAACAATGGTTCGCATTACTAGTGGTATGAAGGTGGAGGCTGATAGAGATGAGTCTTCTCCTTATGCTGCCATGCTTGCAGCCCACGATTTTCCCAACGTTGCAAGGAGTTGGGTATTACTGCCCATCATATAAAACTACGAGCAACCGGAGGGAAACGTGACTAAGACTCCCGGTCCTGGTGCACAGTCGGAACTTAGAGCCCTTGCTCAATCATGCATGAAAATCGGACGCATAGAGGATGTTATTCCCATTCCCACCGATAGTACTCGTAGAAAGGGTGGTAGACGAGGAAGAAGGCCGTGACTCGTTGCTTCGTATCAAGTACTCATTGCTGCTGTTGCTATGATATGCTTGTGGTTTCTGTTTTAAACAATTTTCAATTTAGATTCAAGCTTGTTTTGGTGTTTTCTATTGTTGCACATTAGTTCTGTCGTGGATGTTGATGGTAATTTACACACAAGCTGTTGAACTCTTTTAATAATAAGGGAATACTATGGAATGGAATCAATGCCTGACATGACATTTTTGTCTTTATAATTTTACTGTAATAAAATGAGTTTGAAAAAGTGGGTTAACGGGGGTTTGAGAAGAAGAAAAAGAGTGGGTTTAACGGGGTGTGACAGAAGAAGAAGAATGGAGTTAATGGGGGGGGGGGGGGGGGGGGTTAGATGCCACGTCAATAAAAATAACGAGAGGGTAACGACAAGTACATTACTAAAAACGAACTAAAAATTCAATGATTATATTGAAAGTTTTAAAAGTTGAGTGATCAAAATATAAGCGTTTTAAAAGTTCATAGACAATTTATATACTTTACCCTTAAATTTAAACAGAAATTCATAAATGGAAAACTTTTTAAATTAAATTTATGTTATAAAATAAGACTTTTCAACTAGAATAACTCGATATTTTTACTCGATTTCATCAAATACTTAACCCCTACCTACTCAAACTCAGAATCTTATGATATATTTTAATGAATCACAACAAGAATCCGTAGGCCAAGTCCAAATACTAGTTATAAATTTAGTATACAACCCATATATATACATTAAGAATATCAACAATAAATACGACACGAAATCTTAACGAAGTACGTGTTCATCAACAATCTACCAATTAATGGTATATGCAATGACAATCCTACTATTCTTCACCAATAGTTTTCCTTTTTATAGTGAAAAGAAAGTACTAGAGGGGTAGAGCAGAGCAAGAAGGGCACCTGATGAGACCATTTTCATTACAGGCCGTACAAGTCTTGAACCCAGATTTTTGGGTGTACAATCTACGGCTGCCGTAACATTCGTTGCACAAGAGGAACCTATAACAGCCGCAAATGTCGCAAGTACCGGGCTCAGCATCGGGCAATCCTTCCACCAACTTCTTGAGCTCCCCCGTCTCGTGCAGCTGTTTGATCTCCTCTGCGCCGCCCATGTATCTCCCTCCGATGAAACGCGCGGCAAACTCAACTTGCTTTGACCCAGGATTCCTCGCAGTTCCTTTAAGAAACTAGAGTCCATCGACAGATCTCTCTCGTCAATCGAGACCCGGAATCCTTGGAGGATCGATCGGACGGTCTTGCAATCCTCGAATGTCGATCGAACCACAAGCAGGCTCGTGGAATATACCACAATCCGCTTGTCGGCGCCCGGGATAGAAATGGGGCGAACGGAAACCGAATCCGGGGTTTTCCCATTGGGTCCGGTGCGGTCGGGGGCCAAAGAACGGAAGAGGGAGTTGGCGAGTCGCACGCGGTGGAAGACATTGGCTGATCTTTTGGCGGCGGCGGGTGATGAGAGAGGAGGAGAAGAATCCTCGGTGCAAATGCGTTGTATATCTTTGAAAGAGGAGCAAGAAAAAGGAGATGAAGTGTGGTGAATTGGCAATGGCTTTTTTGTGTTATCCCAGGGTCGCCACATTTGATTTGATCAGAGGTTGAAAGATCAGATCACAAGTTCATTATCCAACACTTCATCAGAGACACCAAAATATGACGCCCACATTAGCTCGCTCGCTCGCTCGCTTTGTTCTATTAACTTAGATGAGGAGAGGGGTAGAGTAGGCTAGGTTTAGTCCAAATGAGATATCTAAATATTGTAGATTTGATACTTATAGTTCAAATGTGTCACATAATGAAGATCCCATCATAATTTAAGCATTGTTCATAGTCACAGTTCTACCACTTTTCTCCTGTCTTATCTTATAATTCTTAAACTTTTGGCAGGAAAATTAGAAGACACATTGCTTGTTTTGAAAACCCAAAAATCAAACATAAAAAATTGTATAGTTTAGGCCAAAAAAAAAACAAGATGAATCTTAGTTAAAATATAAATCATGTTTTTTGGTAAAAGGGCTTAGAAATTTATCTCAAGGTTTTGACTTGAGTCCACTAGGAAATATATTCCTCAACTTTTATCATTTGAAATCAGTTAAACTACAAATACAATGTTCTGGCCGTTTTTGTTTTCACAATCTATGCACGTCCATTTTATGAGATTTTAATGACCTCAAATGAATATAGGAATTAGACCTTTAATAATAAACACTAAAAAATTAAATTATAATAACAAGTAAAAATAAATAAATTTACTTATAAATTATTTTTTATTACATTTAATAACAATTTAATAAATGCATCAAATTTTAAATAAAAAACATCAACAAGTTTTATTAAACACAAAACAAGCATGACTCTCTTTTAAGAGGGCTTAAGTTTGATTTCAACCTTCTCCGTCTTGTCAAGAAAATAATAAAAGAATAATTAAATGAAAAATAAAAATAATTTAAAAATATCACATCAGCATGGACGTTAATTTTATAATGATGGATAACCAAAAATGAAATAAAATGTAACGTTCAGAATGATTTGGAAAAAAATTTAAATGATCAAAACATAAATAATATAATATGTGAGCGACTAAATAGACAATTTATCTTTTTTAATTATACTTGGACTTCATAATTTTGGGCCCTAGCAAGTGTCTCTCGTGTCCAGGCTCAGCTACGGATTTGAATATACGAGTCCTTTAACTTTATGAGGACGTTTGGTTCACGGAAAATATCATTGTCAAAAGAGAAAAATATTTTTTGGAATCATGAATTATGTGTTTAATCTTTATGATTAATTTTCATAAAATATTTTTTTATATTTTCTATTATTGTTGTCAAATAATTTGATATGATGTGTCATTGTAAAACTCGTAGTATTAATAAAATAAAAAAATATATAGCAATTAACACATACTTATACTAGTGTAAGTATGTACACAAATCAATATTTTAGTATCTAAAAATAAACACATAATAATATTGGAGTAAAAAATATATAAATTAAAAATATAATTTATTATATTTTTTTATAAACTTTCGTGTAAATATTTTGATTTTAATATTAATAATTCAATTTGTTAAAAAAGAAAATATATATCAATGATAATTTAGTAAAACATACAATTTTCCTATCTTATACTCATTCAATTAAAAATTGTAATCTTATGTCACTGTCAAACAAATAAAATAAGATAATAAAACATTTTCAGTAATATGTTAAGTAATATAATATTTTGATAATCTTATTTTCAACAATAATTTTACATCCCTAAATCAAACTGCACATAATTTTCCAAAACAGAATTTTAAGGGACCGTTTGGTTCACGACATAAGATATTACCGGAGGGAATGGAATCCTCATTCCCCCGTTTGGTTGGTCGGTAATTTTATTTCCGTTAATCTTTTATTACAAACAGTGAATTTTTTGGGATATATTACCGGGAATGTGATGACCCCTTCCCTTAGGTATTGTTAGATTACAGGCGTTTTAGTCTAAAATAGCCTTAATTTTTTTTTCTTTCAAAACTATCATTCTTCTATCATTAAATAATAAAAATTCTACGAATATTAAATTACAAATTTATCCTTAAACTATTTTTGATTTACAAAAATAGTCCATAATTAAAATTTTATATGAAGTTCAAAGTAAAATTTTACTCTTTCATTAAATCTATTTATATTTTCAATTTTGTAAAAAAAATTATATAAATTTTTAAAAAATATATATATAAATTAATTATAGTAATATTATAGTATAATTCAACTTGTAAAAAAATAAATATATAATAAGGACAATTTGATAAAATATACATTTCAATAATCTTTTATTCCTTTAACCAAACACGGTAATCTTACATTCCTACTAAACCAACCAAACACAAAATACAACATTCACAATAATCTGATTCCCCGGTAATCTTTTTATTCCCACTGATAATCTTTTATTCCCGTAATCTTACATTCCGTAAACCAAACGCACCCTAATAACATGGAATAAGAGAGAAGCGTAGTTGCACAAACTTCAAGGCAATAGATGATCCTTCTTGAGATTGTTTAAATTTTGTCAAATGGGAAAGATGAATTCATTCCTAATGGGCATTAAGTCTAGATAAAAGGAGATGTGTCAACAATGTAATTTTTATCGAGTTAGTTTAATAAATACATCAAATATGTAATTTTTCATAAATATTAGCATTAAATTGATTAAAAAATATAAACAACATATTTATAAAGATGACAAACTCATGTATCAAACATTATATCAAGCCTTCAGTTTGCATGGGGGACTTCTAAGAAGTCGAAAATGAATTTTGAGGATGGATTTCCTTTTAATTAACTATGTTGACATTGCCCTAAAACATAGGCAAATAAATAAGCCCAGCAATTTTGAGATTTTCACATCTTTACCGTTTGATGCCTTAAATTTCACTCCAGCAGCTAAAGCATGGTTTGTTGCACTTGCCCAATTCTATTCACCAACATGTGTATATTGGGCACCCAAATTCCATAATTCCTGCAACAGAGAGACGAGCGTGATCTGAAGGAATTGTTCCCTAAAAAGGTTAGAGATGACAAAAGCAAACATCCCATAGTGGAGGGCTCCCAAAGTTCCACATCTCACATGGCTTGGACAGAGGATAACAATACATGCATGATCCACATGCACCTGCACATGCACATGTACATGCTAGCGGCAAAGTGTTACCTATGCATGCATATCCAAGAAATAACATAAAGTAGAAGGATTATATCACATTCTGCAACAAAAGTAACTCAGTTTTTATATGAAATTTGCGACCGTCTAGCAAGATAAATCATAATCCGTTTTGTATGCTCATTGCTACGACACCGTAATAGAAGAATGTCAATGCTATCCTAAAATCACAGCCTTGTTTATCAGGCGGATTACTGAACACACCTCAACGATAGTAGATGGAGATCTGAGGAATGTCAATGTCATTATCATCATCATCCTCACATGCCACCACCACATCCAAGTGCGATCGGTAGGGAGGCAATTCTTCCCTGGCAATTTCCCGAGCCACATCCACCACCTTCTTATCCAATCGTTCCTTGTGTCTTGGGAACATGCTGTTGAAGAGCAGGCAACTTCCATAAGATATGCTGTAAGCATTCAAGCCCTTGTCTTTGAGCCACTGGATGAGTTCCCTCATAGTGGGATTACCTCTCAAGATCCATCTGTCCCACACAGTCCAGCTCATGTCCTGGTGCTTAGTTACCTTGGGCTGAACTGGCTCAGCCATGGAGAACAAAGGCAGTGCTAGGTTTGAAAATGTATTTCTATAGTCCTCCACTTTATGCGCTCCATCTAGAACCTTGTACAGTTCAAGGCAGACAAGGCCAGTTGCCATAGCTGTGGAAGTGGCAATTGCTGGTATGATTCTTCCTGCAATAAACTTTGCTTTTAGCTTATCCACCTCAGGAATGCTATAGTTCCTTGCCCTCATGTTGGCAAGACCAGCGATAAGATCCATGTGATAGTTTGTATCATCATCCTGTAATTCATGGAATTGCATTACCGTTAGTTACCATCACAAGTTGATTAAAATAACACCATAATCGGGGTTTGGGGGGGAGTAAAACCTCAAAGCTATTTTACAACTAACTACTCGTACTCATTTTCCACCGGTCACCAGAAGAAAAGAAGCCTAACACTAAAGACAGACAATTTTGGCCAATAGCCGATCATAATAGCTACAAAGAGTATCTAGAGATTAAAATAAGTATATAATCAATAAGAAGGATGGCACAAAAAGAAAGGGTTACAAGTTATCAGCACAGAGAAGATATGATCGAAGTTCAAACCTTTTCAAATTGAATTGGTTTCATCCTGAATCCTGGTGGCAGGTTGTTCCTGCAACGCTCTAGCTTGAAGAGTAACTCATTAATAACAGCTGAATCATCAGTAGAGGCAGTGGAAATACTAGTAGCCTTCTCATCTGTCTCAATTTTAACACCTTCCTTTGGCCGAAAATCTGGGACTATCACCTTATCAACTGCCTCAGCCAACATCTTTGGATTCTTGGCCCAATCAGGAACTGGGATACCAAATGTTTCAGCTCTAAGTATAGATGCTGCCATAATAAAGTTAAGATGGGTAGGATCAGCAGCTGAAAACTGAAGTGGACGTGGGAATCGCTTTGGAGCAGACCAGAAGGGAGTCCCAGTACTGGTTGCAGCATCCTCAGGAAATGTAAATGTTAACTGCTTCACCCGGTTAACAAAGTAATCTTCAAATCTATATACAAAAGCAGCAGAATGTCAATAAAAAAAATTCTATAAGAAACTAATGAAAACTAAGAATTTTCCTCAACCATCTAAACTGCTACCTTAGGCGAGCCCAGGTGACACAATCTTGGAATGTATCACATTTTTCCCGCTTGAGGCACTCAAGGATGCGCTCTAACTTATCCTTAGCCTGAGCATCACCAGCATTTCTCATTGACGTGGCATATTCAGATGGATTCGAAAGATAAGCATTCACTTCGGCAGGAGTTTTCTCAAGCAAGCCCTCAAACTCAGATCGAGCCCATGTCAAGCAGTGGTCAATATTGTGAGGAAATGAGTGCACTGTGCACATGGGTGCCTGTTTCTCAGGTGGGTCTCTAGAGGCTCCATAGTTCTCAGTTAGATGAGGAATCACCATCTGGGTGTTGCATTTAGCACCAAGAGTTCCCGACTCAAGAAGTGGTTTCTGGAAATATAGGCACCTCTGATCAACATAGAGTCTAGCATTGACATTATCTAATGCACTGATGACCACTGTTAAGTTCTCCCAAAAATCGTCATTAAACACAGACTCAGTTTCAGGACCGGCACGATTTTGCAGAGCTTCAATTTTAAGCTGAGAATTTATAGATGCAGCAGCTGAAGCAGCAACAGTTGATTTAGCCTGCCCGATGTTCCAATCACGGAACAAAAACTGCCTGCTGAGGTTGCTCTTTTCAATTACATCATCATCCGTGATTATAAGCTTGCCCTGAGTACCACATGAGACACCCATCAATGCCATATTTTTCAGAAACTCACAGCCTAGAGCTCCAGATCCAACTATAAACACTTTTGCATCCTCCAGCTTCTTCTGAAGTTTGGAGCCAAACACTGATATTTGTGCATCATAACGGCTATTCAATGGTTTAAAATCACTCGGCTCCAAGGGTTCAGCAGGAAGAGACTCCACTGAGTCAAAATAGAAAAACTGTTGAAAGCAAATGACTACAGTTAATTTTCCACTAAAAATCAAGTTGAAAAGCAGTCGATACCATATATCAGCTGTGAAAGTATCGCACTAAAATAAGTAGCAAAAAATTGCCAAGATAAGGGCCTATGGTACCAGGAAAGAGTAGAGATATAAGATGTAAAGGTCCAAAGAAACCCCCTCCATTTAGCAAAGTCTCCAATTCTTAAAAAAATAGAACTGCCTAGTTTGACAGATAAATTTAATGAAGTGCTTAAAAGATCGAATAGGGTTTCAATTTGTCATTAATAGAAATATAGCCAAATAGCCTAATTTGAACATGTTAACCATCTAAGCATTGGAATCCATACATGCATGCATAGACGGATACCATCTAATATACACATGCAACAATGAGAAAAACATATGGAAGAGAGTAGTTTCAACTAACCTGAAAAAGAGGATGAAATTTTCCAGAACATGCTTTGACTACCTCTTGTCCCACAATGCCTCCAAACATGGAAGCCATGGGATTCAGTACTGCCCTGGCACCAAAGGCAAAGTGCCTAAGAAGTTTTAGGTTAATATCTTCCACTTTACCCTCCCCAAGGCATTCATTGATGTCAGCAGCAATAGATGTAAGCTTTTGAGCATCCTCTTCTGACCCAGCAACAGGGAAGTGGCCAACTTCACAGATAAACCTATCGAGTGCTTGGAATGCAATGTGCAGGAGAGGTGGGCGGTCAAACTTCGAGAAATCACTCAGAAGAAAATCACCAGGATCCTTAAGAGCTTCCTTCAATGGCTTAAAGTTCAACACCTTGGGCTGTTTCACCTGAGTGACAATGCCACCTTTTACATATGTACCAAAATTTGTGGTGTCCTCCTCAAGAGTAAATGAGTATGGCCTCGCACTTTTAATCTTCCGTGGCTTTCCATCATTGAGTTCTGTCATACCCTGAACTTCAGAGAACACGACAAGATCCCCATCCTCAAACTCGAGCCTTTCATCATCAACACATGATACTAGAGCAGGGTTGTCATTGCTGATGGATGCAATTATGCCCGTGTGTGGTTCCTCTCCATCAACATCAAAAACAGTAAACTCGGGACCGAAGTCACAAAAGACAGTACCAAAAAGGCCTCTTACTTCAGTCTTGATAAAGGAAATTGGAGGCTGATGATTATGGCAGTAGTCATTATACTCGAGAGCTTTTTCGAGAGTTATATCAGTGAATACAACGGCCTGCACAAATTAGAAAATAACTAACTGAACAAAGAAAGACATTCGCAAAAAATATAATATAAGAGAGAAAGCAGAGGGGCCATGAATACTCGACCAGAATCAATGGTTAAATCTTATTTTTCCAAGTGCCAAAATTCCATAGTATGGTTCAAAGCAAATCTAGTTGAAGAAACTGTTATCGAATTGCACTTTTATCCCCAAAACTAGAATACAATTTTAAACAAGAAAATCACAGGAAGCCTAAATTTAGGAAAATAAATAGATAAACCAATGAATAAAACAATATACCTGGAAATCAGATAGTTGTTCTTTGGTCAAATTGGTAGTTAAGGTAGAAATGACGACAGCATTGTTTAGGTCCTGCAACTTCTGAACCGAAGCAAGTGCCCTATTCTTACCAACATCATTCTCCGAAAAAACAAAACCACTGGACAAATCCCAAATCTCCACCACTCCCTCATCATGCAAGGTCACAGATTTGACACCAGCAAGAATGAGATTCTTTGCTGCAGAAAGAAAAAGGCATTGAAGTAAACGTTGGAAATCATAAGCTTAATATAAAATTCAAAACAAATTATGGTTATCATAGCATAGTCCTGCACTGCAGTCTGCAGATCATAAACTCTACATATTGGGACAAGTTCATTCAACACTAAATTCTCAATCTCTTTATTCATGATTAGATGGACACACGTCAAGCATAAAAATCCACTTGTGTTGTTTGAAACACCACAGCTATTGTATAAGATAATAAACCATCTTATAATTGTTTACTACATATTGATAAAGCAAGAAAGACTATGTTAACAACAAGAATTGAATATATACTCGACCAATGGGGACAAAATTAACTCTAAAGAACATCATAGAGCACAATGACACATTAAAGCAATCACAATCTCAAGGTCACATTCATCATGCACCACAAAAGCGAGTTGTCAAAATAATATCAAGAAATAAAACATCAACAAAACAAAGCCAAATGATATGATAAACTAAGGAAAAGACGAGAAAAACAAGAAAAAGAAAAGAAGACAAAAAATCAAAATACCAATTTCAGCACCGAGGCCCTGCATGCCAGAGATGAGGATATTTGAGGCAAAAAGCCGGCGCATTGTCTCGCGGCCATACACAGCAAGCTGCCGGCTGTGCAGATCCTCGTCTATATCATTTAGATTCGCACCCCAAGGAGCCATGACCGGTAGCTCAATCACACTAGTGCTACTATAGTTACTTCTGTTGTCCCCTACGGTTAAGGTTTGGTTATTAGCAGTCAAATCGGTGGCATCGGCGGTGGAAATATGATGTTTCTTGATCGGCGGAGTGACAGCAGTGTTGTTTATGTTGTTGGTGCTATTATTATTTTCAGTCTCTCCTTCTACAACCTCTCCTTCACCAGCTCTCTTTCTAGGAAGCATATAGTGCATTAAACTGCCGAAAAAGCCATAAAACCCCAGAAAAACGACCGTCAGTGCCACAAATGTAGACAATTTCATACTATCATCCATACCAAACATTTCAGATTTATCAAGAAAACAAAAAAAGAAAAAGAACCCGAGGAAGATGGGTAAATCCAACCATCAATTTTATCATGACTATTATTATTTTATTAAGATTTAAGCATTTAAAAGAAAGAAGAGTTAAAAGAAAAAAAACGTACCGATTAGGACTCTGATTAAGAAGAGAAAAGAATCTGATGGAAAGAAGGGGAAAGAGAAAAAAAAATTTATATCTGGATTTGGATGGGTATGTTTATGGTTCAAGGTTTGTAAGGAGATGAGAAAGGAATGCATTGATAAAAGGAGAAAGAGGAGGACGAAGGGCATTTAGGGATTTCCCATAAGGAAAAGAATAAAAGAAAGCTTCTCCTGCTTAGGGTTTTGGCTTTGTAAGCAACCGTTTCTCTCTCACTCTCTCATAAGGACGGAAATTGGACTCAAACGACGAATTTTGATCCGATTTGATTTGATTGTATCATATATTTTTGAATAAAATTCATGTTCGGTTTGAGTAAGATTAATTTTTTTAGAAAATAAGTTTGGTTAGATCGTGTTCGGTTTTAAGGTGCAAATATTTGATCCAACTCAAAATATAATATAATTATACTTTATATATTTAAAGATAATTAAAACAATACTCCTATTATATTATTTATTTTCAAATAAATCTTTATTTTATTGAATAAAATTAATAATTTTATATTATTTTAAGTCGGGTCAAATTTCAGATCGGGCGAAATTATCCTATACTCGGGTCAGATTTCACGTTGAGGGTAGTGGCAGATGTATGTATTGATCAGGATGAGCACGTGCTTACCTTGAAATTCGTATTTCTTTATGTTAGTACTCATTTTTATTTAATGTATTCACCCTGAAATTTTATTTGTAATTATCTCATACAAAAAAATTGAGAGTATAAAACTTCCAGGTCAGGTCGGGTTGGCCGACAACCTACCCATGCCCATCCCTAAATCTTTGAAGAAACGATCCACGACTCTCTGCCACCTTACAAATAACATTGAAATCTCCTCCTAACACCCATGGGCTGCCATTCGATGGTTCAAGAGCTATAATTTGATCCCAAATCTGCCTGCGAATTGAGCCATTTGGACTGGCATAGATGAAGGTTATAAAGAATGACTTCTTTGTCTGCACCTCAAAGCAAGAGGCGTGAATCAACTGTTTAGAAACAGCTAGAATGTCCAAATGAACTAACTCATTCCACATGCTTGGTTAGTTGAATTTTAATGACGTTTCCAATTACCTGGACAACTACATGCTTGTCTTTATTAAGGATAGTTTCATTGTGCCCAACCCTTCCAATTGTTGCTCTTTGGTGTTGCGTCGATAGATTCTGTTCCACCTCAATCTCATATGTAGTACTAGCATCTAGGGTTGAACCCCAAGGAATCCCAACGCGTGGGGCTGCTTGCACGGCATTATAATGTGGCGTGTTGCTTGGCCCATTGGAATTAGTTTTTTCCATCTTTTTACCATGCATGTGATAGCCACGTACCCCTTCCTCATACAAGCTTTCTAAGGTACGTGAATTCTCCAAATGCTTCCCACGATCTCTCCCACCTCATTACCCAAAATCACTCCCTCAATCAAGCTACCTTTAATTGCAGCATTCGTATCTTGGGGTGTCTCATTTGAACGATTAGATGTAATCCGTGAACAACTTTCTTTTATATGACCATAACAACCACACGAGAAGCAAATTGTAGGAAGTCTAACAAATCCTGCTCTATGGTTGGACCGTTAAATAGCTTTCAGCGTTGAAAAATTCTTGAGCGACATCATGGAATTAGAATGTAATCCAATTGTATATTTAATGAAAAGTGATTCTCTGAAATAACGATTAGTGGGTTTTATAATCTTCAGTTCCTTATTGAAAGAGAGAAAAAATATTTGAAAAAACAGTTTCAAAATTCAAACGCAAAACCCAAAAAACAATTGAATTATCCTAATTCACAATCCAATTGAAGAATATGAAGTACTCGCACTTGAAGAATATGCAGCCGCAATTAAATTACGATATGACACGCATTGACTATCAGTGCAAGCAATCAAACAAATAATTGAAATAAGAATTGTGTGCTTGATTATCGAAATATGTATAGCAAACAACACTGCAACAATCATGATTAATAATAGTTTATAAACCTTAAATTATACGATTATAATTTACCAATAAACTTAATCCCTTAAAACATAAACCTTAAAATGCACAAACCATCTTACCTCAATTGTTAAAAGAATCGTTGTTGTTTCTAGATGTCACGTTCGAGCACCAACGACTACAAGGTGATTAGACGTTCATTGTCAAATGGTTGAGAGTACACGATGATATCACTTGTTAGAACCTTAAGGCTGAGATCTTCCAAAAAAAAATAGAGTTCAAAAGAAATACGAGATAATATATTTTTTGGGACCATAACTCCTTTATATGACTTATTTAAGAATCAATTATTGTTTGTACTTATAACTTTCATCAAATTATAAATACAACTTTAATAGTATCTATATTTTTATGTTCATGATACTTTTAATATCTTAGGACTTAATAATATAATTATCAGTTGATTTATATAATATTTTATGATAATAATATATATTAAAAATATTTTCTCATAATTATCGATTTTAATCCTACAATTACTAGCGACTATATTGTATTTCAACTCATTGGTTTACTGTGTTATCTTGTGATTATGATTGTCGCTTCGGCAAGCGGTAGTGACGCAGTGTCCATTGTATAGTGTATAGGATTGTGTGAAACTCATTTGCAATTATGGGCGATTACGCAATATTATGTTGTGTGGATCCGTGTACTTGAGTTTGTCTAACTAATGTCATAATGGACTTTAAATTAATATTAAAGTCAATATGTGATTCAATTGAGTAAGATTATAAATGTGCTTTTAAAATGAATTATGATAATAATATAAGAGAAAGATATATGGTTAAAAATAAGGTTTAAATGCACAATTAGCCCCTAAACTATACTACTTTTACCAAGCTACCCCTATAGTATTTTTTGGGATGTTTTGTCCCTTTAATTTTAAATCGTTATCCCGTTTGCCCCGTTTCGTTAACTCCGTTAAAAAAATCTTACTAACCAATCAGAACAAGCCATGTCACCAATTTTTTTAATGAGAAAAAAAAATTCTGAAGAAAAAAAAATTGGTGATGTGTCGTGTTATGATTGGTCCAAGAATTTTTTAACGAAGTTAACGAAATGGGGCAATCAGGATAATGATTTAAAGTTAATGGGACAAAATGTCTCGAAAAATACTTTAGGGGGTAACTCGGTAAAAATGGTATAGTTTAGGGGTTAATGGCGCATTTAAACTTAAAAATAATGATAAATTATCTTCTTAAGATGTATAAAGTTATAGGTTAAGTACATAAATGGTCCTCGATTATAGGACGTTGTTTTGTTAAGTCCCTAAATTATTAAAAGTTATAAAATGATCCTCTAATTATATGATGTTAGCTTATTAAGTCTCCGACTATTAAAAGTTACAAAATTGTCACCCCACTATTCATATATTCTAAAATCGTCTTTTTTGATGAAAAAAACACAATAGTTTGAGTTGAACGTTAACATGCTGCCAGAGATACGATAGTCGTTTGAGATTATTGGATCAGATTTTAGCATATCTTAGTCAGTATGTTAACGTTAAACTCAAACTACCGTCAAATTTTTAACGAAAATGGAAGAGTTTGGAACATATGAATAGTTGAGTGACCATTTTATAACTTTTAATAGTCGAGGACTCAACAAAGCGACGTCCTATAATTGAAGGACCATTTTGTAACTTTCAATAATCGAGAGACTTAATAAAGCAACACCCTATAATCGATGGACCATTTATGTACTTTACTCTAAAAATATAAGCGAGATGAGATTGAATTAATGGTGTTAGGTAGTGCGTACAACTAGGGGTGTAAATGAATAGAGCGTTCGGTGAACCGTTCGTTTATGTTCGTTTGTTAAGCTAAATAAACAAGTATGAACCAAAATTTAATGTTCATTAAATAAACGAACGAACATGAACAGAGGTGTGTTCAGTTTGTTTATGTTCACGAACAAGCTCGTTTATGAGCTCGTTTATAAGTTCGTTTATGAGCTTGTTTATAAGTTCGTTTATGAGCTCATTTATCGACTCGTTCGTTTATATTCATGAACATGCTCATTTATTTTTTATATTTTAAATATTGGTGAAAGTGTATACTAAATTGAATACATTGTGAAACTTAGAGTTTTAACTATGAATTCTAAGAAGTTTAAGCCTAATTGGCGTAAGTTTAGCATTTCCCCCTATTATAACACCAAAAAGCCCTTTTCCCTTCACTCTTTTCGCCGTTTTGTTTCAGCCGCTCGTCTAAGCCTCCTTTTTCCCCTTTTTCACAAACTTTGTCAACCCTAAATCTTCTTTTGTGACATTATGCTCTACATTGTCGGTGCCTTTGCGCTCCTCGTCTCGTCCCGATCATAACAGTAGCAATAATCCCCTTCCTAGACTAAAGTGCGAGTTAATTCGTTACATTTCTTTTCTTTTTCTTTTGGTCGAAATTATAATTGTTTTCCTATTCTTACTATCTATATTGAGTGTGTTCAAATTTGAGTACTCATATTTTTAGAGATCGAAAGTATCGAGTATCTGATTCTTTGGGTAGTATACTTATCGACATGTAATTCGACTTGCTAAGTTTAGGTATTCGGTAGCCAAGTACCCTAAAATCTGGATACCTGCATCTTCAAGTCATGGGTATCTTATTCATATATACATATTTAAAATTTTAATTGATTTTTTAAAATCACATGAAAATAAATAAAATTTAAAAGTTCATAATATACAGAATACATACACAAAAATTAATGATTTGAAGTTAGTTTATATATTAAAGTTTATTTTCAAAAGAAAACATTAAAAATATTATTATCGATTGTGATTTTTCATTTGAATTTCATATTAACAAATAAAAAAATTTAAATATTAAAATTTAAATGTACATAATACAAACCTAGAAAAAGTTTAGGGATTTAAATTTAGTTTTAAGGTAAAAATATTAAAGAACCTAAAATAAAAAATATAGTTTAAGCTAATATATATATATATATATATATATATATATATATATTAAAATTACTTGATCGAGTTGGGTACACAATTATAAAAAAATTTGCTCCAAAAATGGTCTAACTATTCAGAAAAAAATCACGAGTTAGGTACCCGATCCAATTAAATAAATTTTTAAATAATTACTTAGTTTTTAAGTCTGGATCAACGGATAATGGAACAAATCAACCGGGTAAAATATTTTTAAATATCCCTTGTCTCTATAAAATACAAAAAGAAATTTATTTTGATCATCCCATCATATTCATCATCCAGCTTGCGCCTACTTATTTGTTTTTCTTTTTATATTTTTCCCTCTCTGTCTCTCTGCCTATTATTTTTTGTCGGTTGAATTTTCCTTTGCTTAATTGAATTTCCTGTCATCTCTCACGATTACAGAAAAGATGAGTGTATTTGACCTAATCAAACAGAAGCATCTATTAAGAATTTGTGAGTGATGGATTGATAGCTTGGAATTCATACAAAAACACAATCCCAGCTTGAATTTGTAAAGAAAAAAAACACCTTTTTTTACATCTTATTTGAAGTCAATGGATTCTGGTTCCGGAGGCAGTGTGAATGGCATCAACGAAGCTGTACTAGCATCAGCTTCAGCCCCCCCGCAGATGGTTTCCCAGCAAAGAGGTGATGGTGGCGAGTCTTACTCCCCAGCTCCACCGAGTCGTTACGAGTCACAAAAGCGTCGAGATTGGAACACTTTCTTGCAGTACTTGACGAAGCATAATCCGCCATTAACACTCTCTCTTTGCAGTGGCGCGCACGTAATTGAGTTCTTGAAGTACCTTGACCAGTTCGGCAAAACTAAGGTTCACATAACGGGTTGTCCTTATTTCGGACATCTAAACCCACCCGCTCCTTGCTCTTGCCCACTCAAGCAAGCGTGGGGCAGCCTCGACGCACTGATCGGACGGCTCAGAGCTGCGTATGAAGAAAACGGTGGACGTCCAGAATCAAACCCCTTTGGCGCAAGGGCTGTGAGGATTTATCTGAGGGAAGTGAGAGAAGGGCAGTCTAAAGCTAGAGGAATTCCTTATGAGAAGAAGAAGCGAAAAAGACCCACTGTCTCAACTCCGGCTGTGGCCGTCAATGTGTCGATGACTTCCACTCAACCGGTTGATGGCGGTGGTGGTAATTATAATGTTGCTCCTGAGACTGGGACAAGTGTTGGTACTGCCACCACTAGTAGTGTTTAGTTTCTCTCTGAAAATTGGATCGATATCCCATGAACCAAAATTAAAATTTAGTTAGAAATCTAGTTTTAATTTCTGTCAAAGTTTCAACCAATCTCTCTTTTTTTTATCTTCATCATTTCTAAGGAATATAAGAATTCTTCTTTTCATCATTCCTCAGCAAGGAGCAAATGGCTATTACTACTGGGTTTCTCTTGTTTTGAGTTTGGACCTGATTCTGCTAGGTAATCTCCAATCAGATGTATGGAGTCCATCATCTATAGAGAAGAAATTTAACCTATTTTACTTGTAAAGAAAGTTCTAATGAAATTGATTTAAGAAAGTTCTAATGAAATTGATTTAAGTGATAGGTAGTTTAATATCGTTTAAGTAAGTCATGAGCTTAAGATTTTTTGTATGTAAAAAATCTATATTAAAATATTTTTACATTAAAATTAAATGTAAGACACGAAACTATATAAATTAATTAAGATAAAATCTTTAAAAATCGAACTGACAACCTCATAGCCAGCTAAGACAAACTTCAATGCTTGTAAAGTGGAGGCAAGAGAAGGGAAACACAGCCAAATATTTTACAACAAACAGCGCTTCTCTATGTAACCGTGCATCTCGTCCCGGCTTTCTTTAATCGGTTGGTCGTTGTTTGATTGGCCGGTAATGTTATTTTTAATAATATTTTATTATAAATATTAGATTTTTTTGGATATATTACTGAAAATATCATTACATCTTCTCTTATGTATTATTGGATTATTGGTATTTTAGACTAAAATGTCCTTAATTTTTTTCTTTTCAAAATATCATTCCTCTGTCATTGAATAATAAAAATTTTACGAAGGTTAAATTACAAATTTATCATTAAATTATTTTAGATTTATAAAAAATATAATTAAAATTTATATAAAGTTCAGGGGTTAAAATAAAATTTTATAAAAAAATTAAATTAATTTTATGAATTTAAATTTTTAAAGAAAATATATAAAATTTCTCAACTTGTTAAAAAATAAATATATAATAAGGATAATTTGGTCAAATATATATTCTAATAATCTTTTATTTCTTTAACCAAAAACGGTAATCTTACATTCCTACTAAACCAACCAAACAAAAAATACAACATTCTCAGTAATCTTATTCTCTGATAATCTTTTATTCCCACTAATAATCTTACATTCCGTAAACTAAATACAACATAAAGTGCAATACCAATTCTGATATATATGCACACGTGAGCTTCTCTGAATTTACACACTTTTGCCATTTCAGTTTCAGGTGCTCTCTCCCCTCATTATATCCTCATCATCAAGGATTTAAACTATAATTATTGTCCCGATTTTTTATTGTGTTGTGTTTATCTCAATGTAAATATATATGGATATTATTATAATTATTATAGGTATCACGATCATAAAATAACGAGTTTGAACAACACCATCATCATCACCATTATATGGTCATTATTTTGATAGATAATCATTATTTAAAATCCCTGCTCATCATATAAGATTTTTTTTAACTATTATTCTTTTTATAATATTAACTCACTCATTACTATTATTAAGGTAAGCTATGTTTTTTAGTCATTCACCAAATTCTGTAATTTTATTTTGATCACTTAACTATTTTTTTCTTTCAAAATGAGGCCTAATGTTATATCTTATTTTCGTTTTGGTTATTCTTTGTTAAAAAAATAAAAAGAATTGTTGACGTGATAAATTTTTTATTCTTTTAAATGATGACATAATATTACTTTATGGTGACACATCAACATTAATGTTAATTTTTTAACAGCGTGTGACTAAAGCGGAACCAAAACATAACATTAGATATAATTTTTTTTAAAATAAAATAATTCAGTGACTAAAATGTAACCATCGGAATCGAATGATGACTAAGTATGTACCTTACCCTTAATTTTATATCCTTTAATAATAATGGTGCAAGCAAGCGTCAATGAATATTTTAGAACAATCCTTGTCAATGATGCCCTCGTCTTATTTGAGTAACCCCCACCTCAGTATGAAAAGGACCAATACCCAGCCCTTTCTTTCACACCATATAATTGCACATAATAAGTATATTTTAATCATCTCATTATTATTGTGAATTTTACATATCTTATACCCTATACTCCAAGTACAAATTGCCATAATTTTTTTTTTATCTTTCTTCGCATCATCATATCTTAAATTTATGAGTGTGTAATTGATGTATGATCGTTTTTCCTTCATAAACATATAACCATTAATTCATTACAACTTTAAGTACCTTATTAATGTTAGAATCAAAATATAGTTGATATAAAATTTATAATCTAAGATTTATCATATCAAATCATCAAGAATAAATGTTATACGGAAGTGTGTCTAAATTAATTGATAGAGTGAAATTCTTGAATTTTTATTTCGTTATGATCTTTCAAGAAGATATATTTGTTCTTTCAGTAAAAATTCTCCGACGAATTAAGAGTAAATCCAAATTAACCTATTTTTTTAGCATCACTACCTCTTTATATAGAATAAATATTTGATCAATCTATTAAGTATTTATAACTCTATTCTTCGTCGTTTTATAAATGCAACTTACAATGTGTATACTTTAACAAATTCATGACACTTTAATACTTGCGTAACATTGAAAAAAATATCAGAAGCAGGAGGTAGTACAGCAGTGGGGGCCGGAGAGTGAGTGAATGAAAGGAGGAGCGATGTCACAACACAAGATTCATGATAAGAAAAGGAAAGCCCTTCATAGCCTGCCAATTTACTAGTTTCATTTGTCGCTATCTAAGGCTACGGGTTTTCAAATAATTCAACATTTAAAAGGAAAAAGAGATAGAAGGGTGGATACGTAAGCCGTGAGTTAGTGTAAATGCATGCACTTCTCTCGAGTCTCGACTAGTCCCTTGTCTAAAGAACCACATGCCCTTGTTTCAGATGCACATATTTAAACCAATAATACCTTAACATGTGGGCTCTCCATCGTTTTACACCTTTCAAGGGCCCCCTCGCCGTTTCCTGCACATGCACCAGTGGCATATTATTGCAGTATTGTTGCTCAGAATTGGAGAATACAACTTTGACCGGAGATGAGCGGAGGGATGTTTGAGTGCAGTTGGATCTTTCCAAAATTTTAAATTTTTATATAATTAAATACTTTTATGTGATATAAAATCATATATCTATTTCTGACTATGATCATTTCTGTCAGTATTAGGATGCAGCCCAAGTCTTAAGGTTCTCATTCTTCAATTATTCTTGTATAGAAATTAAAAGTCTATGGGTTCATTCTCGTTTCAAAGCCAAGCCGTGTTCCAAGCATTGATGTTACATCCCAATGTTATGGTCAGTAATAGTAATTAAGTAATTTTGAGGGGCTAATTTTCATTATTGCAAAATTGAGAGCTTAATTGAATTGAAATTTAATTAATTATTGATTGAATTGAATAATTTAAGAGGTTGATAGCCAAAATTGGACCTGCCATCTGACTCGCTTACCCACCAACCCAAGCTCCAAGTGTTGTCAAGTAGGACCAGTCAAGCTTGAAGCCCAAGATCCAATTAGAGCCTAGAACCCTTAGGCCTAAAGGTAAGCTTCTAGAACCCAACCCAAGTTGCTCCTTGTTCATTCCATAGACTCGTTACCCAATCCATTCGTTCATCGTTGACTTTGACTCCAACTGTTGAATTTAATTTTGAATTGTTGACTTTGAATTTTCAGCATATTTTACTCTTTCTGACTCGAAATCTTCATATTTAGACTGATTAAACTGTTTTAAACTTTGTGAATGTACCAATTGACGCCAAACTCAACAACTCAATTTATCCTAATAACGGTTTCAGCAATCTAAGTTCGAGCTAAGAAATGGGTAAACTTTTAAATATGAATAATCTTATAATATGGATTAATAGATAAATGTATTAATACAATGTATTTAATGAATTGAAAAGGGGAATTAATGGAAGAGTAATTCATGTAGCAATTTTATCACTGGTTTCAGACTAAGTAGAGTTAAACATTTTTCTGTGTAGGTGCTGATCTTGTTGGACCTAGTACATCCAGACGTAGAGAAGGCCCATGCTTCGTTGATTTCTATTTAGAGGTGTGTGTTTCACTAACATTTGTGTGTATTGTTGTGTGAAAACCATATGACTTTCATTTTGAAATCTTGTATAACTCAATATGAATGGATTGTTTTGGGTAAGTATGCTAACTTGTTTGATTGATAAGCATGGTATTTATACACTACATACTTGATTCATCCATATGCCATGCATTAAGGATAGCTTGATGATATATTTTGAATTGCAAATATACATGTATAATGGTATGTCATATTGTACTATGCATGAGATGAGTTATGGGGGAAGAAGACATTGATTCTCAAGTATGTACCAAACTAGTGATTATTACAATAATACGACTATGTATACTTGATACTGTAATACGAATATGTATTTCATTTTCTTAAACACTGAGTTCAGGAGAACTCTGTTTGTGGAGATTAGAGAGTGGACGAGTAGATATGACTTACTAGCCTATATTTCTTTCATATGATGTTATGCGACTGATTTCTGCGTCGGCAGACTCTTTGGTTACTTTTACGCACTTAGAGATTATACTAAGCTCTATAACTTACCCTTGTTTATTTCTAGTGTCAGTTTCACCCTTATTTGTAGTGTCAGTGTTACCCTTATTTGTAGTGTCAGTTGTTCTTTAGATTCCAAAAATTTGTTTAAAAGATAATAGACATATAACCATAACTGACTAACTTAGGTTTTCAGCTATAACTATTAAAAAAATCTTTCAGCTATAATACATTAATTTGGCCTATACTCATGGATGTGTCAAAGCAGTTTAATCAAAAAGTTCAATGCGATGTACTTGCCTCGACCCCTGTACTCAGAGATGGATCGAGAGGATGGGTGAGACAAATTCTTATATATTTTCGATATTTTGTTTGTATTGTCATTTAAAATCTGTTTTAGCCCTCGTTAAAATTATATAAATTCTTTCTTTATTAAAATTTTATAAGTTTATCCCTCCTAATATGAAATCATGCGTCCGTTATTATTGTTGTCCTAAACCAACAATTAAAAGTAGGCAAATCAATTCAACACCAGCAATGTAAGTTTTTTTTTTTGGAATAAAGTTGAGACGAAATTGATGAATACCAAGAGTTTCATTCTCTAATTCTTTATCATGCAGTCACCAGTTGATTGCTAAGCATCAGATCAAAGTGCCAAACACCTGCAAAATCATGAATATTCAATGAAAAAAAAATCAACTCTCTGTAAAACATAATGCAAATCAGTAAATGGAAGATCTCAAATTATAATACAAGAATTACCATGTCCCTTGCCCGCTCTCCTCAACTGAGCTACATATTCCGAGAGCTTTCTAATGGATTCAACCTACATGAAAGCAGATAGAAATGGGATGAATGTGAGACTGAGTGCAAATGTAATGAAATACAAACACCGCAGCAGTAGCGCCGTAAACGAGCCAAGTCAAGTTTGAGTATTGTTAGACTCGACTCCACTCGAAAAGTTTAAAGCTGAATTCGACTTGTTCGACTTGAAGGTTCGCGAGCTTAAAATTGTCGAACTCGAAATCAAAATTGAAGCTCGACTCGGAAGCCATCGAGCTTAAAATTGTCAGGCTCGAGTCGGGTATCAAGTACTTCGCTTCTGCTCGTTCAATATTCGAATCGAACCCATTCGATTAGAGTGTTGACCAAATCAAACTCGAATAATTCGCAATATGTTTAGTCTCATTTACAGACCTACGCAGCAGAACTGAAATCAAATTTACTTCACCTGCTCGGTCAAGAATTCAGTTTCAATGAAGTCCGCCAGATGAACGTCATTGACTTCATTAGCCATCTGTAAAATATGTAATTTATATAAATGGATCAAATGAGTAATTAAAATTTATTTTAATAGAGAAAGAGAGGTGTCTACTATGTGTAAATTAAGAAGCTTCTCATTGTTCAGCTTTTCCAAGGACAAAGCAAGTTCCATTGCTGAAACAAAAATCATAAGTCAATTAACGAACACTTGAGAGTTCTGAGACTTGGAAAAATATCTTATTCTTGTGTATTCAAAAAGTCCAACCATAAAGTGCATCGCCCTTCTCAGGATGATCATATTCTGCTATTGGCATCAGCATGGACTGCAGCACAACCTTTCCTCCTCGTTTGTTCTAATTCTCACAAGAGACGGGAGGAGTAAAATAATAGTAATAATAATAAGAGTAAAGCATACAATTGGTCCGACTATAGGGCGTTGCTTCTTTGAGTTCACTGACCACTAAAAAAAACAAATTTTTTCCGCTTATAGGGTGTTATTTTGTTGAGTCGTCCGACTATTAAAATTTACAAAATAATCACCCGACTATTCAAACAGAGGCTTGATATGAGTTTATAACATATGAATAGTTGATTGAATATTCTGTAATTTATAATAGTCGAGAGACTTGAGAACCATTTGTGTCCCTTATCCTAATAATAATCCAAGAGAAAAGTTTGGAAACAAAAAGAATATGATGCATGCAGCAATGTTTCACCTGGTAATCCATAAACATCTCGGCATGCTGCCTTTCCTCAACACTAGAATCCTTAAAAAATCTGCAAAATCAATCATCAATCAAATAAACTATTAAGATTCAAAAAAAATGTAATAACCTAAACAACAAAATGATGGATTTGGGTCTACAAGACATTACTTGGCAATGCCCTTGAGAGCAACGTTGTCTCTGTCGAAATAGGCGTACATGGCATGATACACATAGGAGACATTGTACTCCACACTGATTCAGCAAAAAGGAGCAGAATCTCAGTAAATTCTATATCCTTAATAGAACAAGAATTACCACAGAATGATCAATCCTAAGCAAAATTCGATCATTTTCTTTTGAAAGGAATATGCATCTAACAAAAAGGTCCAAAGGGATACGTAAATCAATCTATGGGCATTCATGCAATGAAAACATCATAAAAAGCACACAGGATTAAAATAAAGAAAAAAAGACTGACTTGATCTGGTCATTAATGGCAGCCTCACACCGATCCGTGTACAAATGGCGGGCAAGAGAAACTTGTGGGACGGAAGGGACGTGAAGAAGCTCTTTCTTCAGTTCCTCAAATGGCTCAAACACGACATTCGAAATGGGTCGATGGTTGGGCTCTTTCGAAGCCAAAACGACACCCACAAAACCTGAAGCCTTCCTCGGATAGCTCACAACAGTCACGCCGGAGATCAACCCATTTGAGTTATTCAAAAAAGAAGAAGATGAAAGAGAGAAATCGACATTTCCTCTTTGTATAACTGAGGGAAATGGAGAAGAAAATAGCGAACAATACTTGTTTGGGAGCATTTTACAGAGGAGATTGAATGGAGAAGGAAAAGGAAATGAGGCGACGAAGTTGGCAAGGTGAATGAAAACCACTGGGTGGGGAGATTCTTGACAGTTTATAACGGAACACGTGGATGGTTAGGTTTGATTGACATGGAGAGAGCGCGTGGCTAGCTCGTGGTTCCCTTGACTAATGTTTTCACTCACCAGATATTATAAAGGGTCCCTCTATTATGCATTTGGCATAATGTTAAAATTCTACCGTAAACATTTATTAAAATGATTATTTTGGTTTTTACTTATTTTTTAAATATTTTGGCCTCAACGTTTATTTTAGAGTAAAAAAACTCGAGCATTAATCGTTTATTAACTAGGGGTGTAAATGAACAAAACTTGAACGAATAAGTTTATGTTTGTATTTATTTTTTTAGGTGTTCATGTTTGGTTTGTATTCGTTTAAATTTTTAATATTGTGTTCATGTTCGTTTATTTATTTTTGAATGGGTTTGTGTTCGTTTATTTATTGTTCGCGAACATGTTCCTTTAATGTTCGAGAATGTGTTTGTTTATTTATTATTCGCGAATATGTTCGTTTAATGTTCGGGAACGTGTTCGTTTATTTATTATTCGTGAATATGTTCATTTAATGTTCATGAACGTGTTCGTTTAATATTCATGAACATATTCATTTATATGTTCACGAACGTGCTTATTTAGCATTCGCGAACTTGTTCGTTTAGTGTTTGTTTATATATTCAGTTTTTAGTTTTACCCTTTCATTTCCAAGCGGAAGAAAAATAGTAAAATTACGCCGCTAGCCTTGAAACTCCTTAAAATTCATAGTTTAAATTTCAATTTTTATCATGTTTTTATTTGTTCATGCCTCTACCAATATTTAAAATGTAAAAAACTAAATGAAAAAGGAGAATCGAGTAAACGAGCTTATTCATGAACATAAATAAACGAGTTTGAGATTGAGAAGTTGACAGGAACTGAAGATTTAGTTTGAATTTTGATCTACTTTTGCTGATTTTGACTTGCCTCTTTCCGTTCCTTAGAGAAGAGTTGTAGACAGATTGTTGTGTTTCTTCTTGAAAACTAAATGCTCTATAGCCCCCAACTCTTTGATTAAGTCAAGACCGGTCTCTATTTCTTTACAAGTGTAGCTGATACATATGTTAATCCTTCTTGTGGTTTCATTTTCTTTGGATTATGGTATGTTTAGAGAGTAAAAGCTAACTTTATATATATATATTTTGCATGTGGCTGCAGAATCTAAGGTATTGAGGACATTTAGAACAGAGTGGGATGAAGGAAAATCAATTTGCAAGGAACTGCTTAAAAATCAACCCACTAATTATTAAGGGTTTCGAGTTATTCTAGTCTTAATTTATAACTCAAATTTTATTTAAATTTTTTTAAATCAAATTAAATAGAGTTGAAATTTTTAATATTAAATCGAAAAAATCATTTTTTTTAGAATATGGTGTAATTTTATTCACCTTTCTCCCCAACATTCATCTTGATTTAGGGGGGGGGGGAAGCACGGCTCACGTGAATATGTGAGCTTTCACTAGCCTATTATCGTTTTTTTTTTTGTAATTTTAAGGTGAATATAAAATGATTGTATATATTTAAAAACTCTTATTCATTTGACAATGAAAAACTCTTAATCATTTGACAATGAACGTTTATATTTCAATATACATAATACTCGAATTCAAAATTTTAATAAATAACAACAATCTCTTAATTATTAAAGTTATTTGGATTCGTGCACTGGCCAATTATCATTTCCTTGTATTATAATTGTGGTTAAAACATTAATACTTTTTAAGAAAATGACATGTTAATTTGGTTATATGCACATTTACATACCATGCTATTTGTTTTTATTGTATCATATTTAATTTTTTTTAATCATATTATAGTGTTCGAGCTTCATTGGCTCGTCAAAAGTACTCTGATGAGTGATGACTGTGAAGCTGCTATCAACGAGCAAAATCAAGCGGGTTTTTTCTCTTCTTTTACATCTTAAGTCAACTATATGTATATATATGCATTTTTTATTAAACAAAGAATTTTCTTTACGTTTTTTGATTGCATCTTTCTTAAGATTACTGAAATAATTACTTTTTTTGTGTGCAGCTAATTTCATGGTTCCTATTGAATAGGTTCTTTAAGGAATCCAGATTGGAAGAAAGAGAGCATGGTGAGAAATTGATGGAATATCAGGTTTTGATCCAATCTATCCATTGCTTATCGTTGTACAGTTTCATATAATTTTGTTTGGTGAGAAAATGAAGCTGCAATCCATTTTGACGTCCTCACCGAGTACGATCATACTGAGAAAGTGATACATGCACCAGAGTCCATAATACATGCTTCTTTGGACAAATGTTTCTACTCGAACCTATTAGAAGAACAAAGTCTCGAAGATTCAAAGTATATCTATTCGGTAAGTATAATGTGAATGAATCATTAAACGATTTTAATGTTGTTCCCTTTAATGTTTCAGATTCGAGGTCGAATCTTTCTGAAGAAAGAGAGGATGATATATGCATCACAAGGCTCATATCAAAGGAAGAAGTAATAACTCTTCCAAATGATTCACTCGTCCAAGCATTGAAAAAGAAGATCAGAACAGAAGCAGACTTACGACGACTTTTTGAATGGGATCCTGATCTTATTTAGTCAAGATGTCTTCTGAAGATACGACTGTCTGTCTCTTATCTTTGCAACGGTTTTTGAATCGCATCAATCCGATATCGGGAACTCAAGATATGACTATTTTACTGAAGACGGTGCATGCAGAAAATCCTATACGGGATTAATACGGGATTTTGTAAATATTACGAATTTTCAATATTTTTATTGATTATTTGTAATATAACTTAATATAGGATGATGCATTATCTTTTAGGATTAGATTTATTATTTTATTAGGAATTAATGTTGAGTTAAAAATATTATCTTTAGTTATTATTATTTTATTAAGAATTAGAGTTAAAATATGTTTAGTTTATTATTATTTTATTCGTTAGTTATTTAGTACCTTTAGAACTCAGCCCCTATATAAAGGAGGCTTCGTTAAACTTTGTAATTCAATATTTCTTTGATTAATAATACAACGAGAGTTTGTTTTTGCAAGTGCTGATTGCCTTGTGCCTTCGAAGCTTCTTCTCATTGAGTTCTTTCAAGTTCTTGTGAGGAAGATTGATCTTCACACTCTAATTTGCCTTTTCATCGCGACTAGGAGGGTTGGTTAGAGCCATATTATCGTGTTTGCCTTTTCATTACGACTAGGAGGGCTCGATAGGACATTATCCATCGATTTTCCACATATCCATCCATATCATCAATCATCTTTACCGTTCACCTTCATAAGGGAAATCTTTTGATTTCTTGGTTATCTTATTTTATTTGCAATTCCTTTATCTTTTCTTTATCTTATTTTTTATCTTGTTTCCAGCACCAAAAAGAAACCCTAAAGAATCCTATCTATTGCCACCACATTCCCCATTCATCCCTTATTGTTCTTCATCGAGTCTAGATCTTTTATAGGTTTGATTCTTCAACAAGAGCAACGTTCATTAATCCGCCACCGCTTCCCTATCAGAAAGGAGATTCATTTGTTTACTGATTATTTTGAATTCTTTGGTTCAGCTATGGAGCTTGCCTTGTCCCTGGAGAAACTAACAAATGAAAAGCTCTTGAACTTGCACAGGGTAAGACTTTACCCTCTTTCTGTATGCATTCTTACTCCTTCATAAGGTCTAAAAGTTTCGCAGTAATCGATTTGAATTATAAAATTGCTGAATACAAATTAAAGGCAAACTTTACGAATAGTCCCCTTTATTTTTGGTTTAACCGAATTTAGTCATCAGTTCAAAAATTAAGGACAATTAATTTCTTACGTTATCGGTCTGTTCGGTATAAATCTCTTAACCGTTAACTTCTGTTAACCCATTAACAGAATTGTTCGGTTTAAGTAAAAAAACTGCAAGTGATTTCTGCTAAGCATGGCTACACAAACATCATTCTCAAAGGGAATAATATGTTTACAAAAATACACCAAACCCATAATATTAATGTTTAAAACACCGAAAATTTCAGTTACTTTTAAAGCTAAAGCATCAAACTTTTTATACAAAATTTTAATCTTCTATCGAATTTTAAAAAAATATGAAAAAATGAGAATGCCGTAAAGTATTAAACTTTTTTCATAAATATCAAAATATAAGTATCGATCTAAATAAAAAAGTGTTTAACATCATAATATATGTATCGATATTTTAACAATTGATCATCTTCATCGACTTTTTCAATATATAAAAGTATCTATCATAATCGCATAAATATCGATATTTTAAATTTTGATCATTTTATCAACTTTTTCAATATTTAAAAGTATCAATCATTATTGCATTAATATCGTTTTTTTAACTTTCGATCTTATCTTTAACTTTTTCAATATTTAAAAGTATCTATCATCATATATCAAGTATCGATATTTAAAATATCGAAATGCTTTCTTAATTTTGTCTCGATCCACTCTGAATAAATATAGATATTTCTTCACAGATAACAATCTTGGGTGCAACCGAATTTATTATAGATATTCATAACATTTGTAGTTTCTAACATATTTTGTTCAAAGCTAAAGTAACATTTTAGGCTCAATCCATTTTATTAATAAAATATTAACATTTCATATCGCAACCTAATTTTTTAGTTAATTATGACATTCTTGGACGCAACAGTATTTAATATAGATTTTTATAACATTTTTCGCCAACTTATTTTGTTATCGTGAGAAAATCTAAGGTTCCATCAGGTTAAACTCTAGTAACATTTTAGGCTCAACCCATTTTATTAATAAAAAAGTTAACATTTGAGATCACAACCTTCTTTCTTAGTAAACTATGACATTCTTGGGCGCAACCGTATGTATTATAGATATTCATAATATTTTCGGCTTTTAACTTATTTTGTTATCGTGAGAAAATCTAAGGTTCCATTAGCTTAAACTATGATAACATTTTAGGCGCAGTCCATTTTATTATTA